ATTTTCAGTTTGTCTGGATTTAGGGAGCAAATATTCACTGTCAGAGCTAAAGAAGCAACTTTACATTGGAGAGAGAGAGAGAGAGAGATCTGACTGACCAAGGGTTTCGATTTCACCATTCTCACAATAACATTTTATACAACCATAGACCTTTTCATGACTTTTGCATGCCCCCCCCCCTGGGCCTTGAGCCAGGGCCATCTGTACCCTTTGCCCCCCTGCCCCCCCTTCCTGGCGACGGGCCTGCTGTCCGTGGAAGTTAACTTCATCCAATGTCCTTTGCACCGTCTGACCACTCACAAAACTACTCATTTTCAAGTTCCTTGTGCAAAGTCAGAGGCAACGTTAAGCAAGACCTCTCCAATGAAAATCAAGTTTTTCACCTTGTTAACATCCAAATTATGTTTTTCTATAATACGAGACATGATAAGTGAAATAATCTGTCAACACCATGACTAAGTGTTTCAGCCACTGCCAGTTACAAGTTAACAAACAACATAAAAATAAAAGATGCTAACTACGCTAACCGTTCCGATACGTCTGCTAGTCTCTGATTCTTGTCTCAACAGACAAGACAGACTCCTCATCTGAGTCTGGGTCTGGTTCTGGAAGCTCAAACATGTGGTTGAGTCTCTCTGATGTTTCCTTCCTCTTTTTTCACTTTTTATGTGTGAAAACCATGTTAAACAAAATAATGATCATAGCAGAGGATTTTCACAGAGTTTCAAACAGCTCTTGGTGAGTAAAGGAGTGAAGTTAAACAATAATGCCTGATGTCGCATGATCTACGTGAAGCTGTTCACTCTCAGACTATTTCTCACATAAACATTATTTGTTATATTAAAGGGTCAAAGTTCATGTCCTGCTGTGACCAGCTGGCAGGAACATGTCTTGTACTTAACCAGTTTACAAGTGCCATAAACCCAAATTAATCAGTTTATAATTAAGCAGCATATTAACTGACGACTTAATCTTGATAATCTAAAAGACCCTATGTCTAATAATCTGAAAGGTTATCTAAAGTTAATTATGATCGTAATCATGTAATTATAAAAAAAATTAAAATAAAGAAAATACTGTATCTCAGTTTGTTAAATGTCTCTCGTAATCATGGAACATGGAAGCTTAATTTACAATATTTTCTAAATTTGTATTTATTAATTAATTTGGATGACTGCACTGCATTAATCACTGAGACACAAAACTAACACCCACATGATAAGATCAAGACGTAACTTTATTTTTGCATCCTGTTTTCTCTCCTGGACATTTGTCTGCAGATATTTGTGTATTTATTCCTTGAAGATGCTAGTATGTGACAACCTGCTCAACAGCTTCAGGAATGTTTCATCTAACATTATGCCTTAAGCACTTTATTCACCTCCTCATTATGTTCAATAAAACTACAGACTGGTTTTATATTGTTAAAAGCACTGGCATTGAATCCTTATATACGGAACGTGGTGGATGAGGAAATAAACTGAAGATTTAAACTGATATATATATATATATATATATATATATATATACACACACACACACACATATATATGCTCATACTTTAAATAGTTTTCCTCTGACCAGACTTGTGGTTTCAGGGACACTGTTTCACTGCAGCAACTTAAACTCTGAATGCTACAGAGCACAGTGGGGACTATCACCAATACTTTATTGATGTATGAAGGGGGAGGTTGTGGCCTCTTTGTGTCCTCAGATTTCTGCACAGTCTGACTCAACCCCTAACAGAGTGTGGCTCAGTCAACCCCTGCAGAGCCTTTTGAGCATAAAAGGCTTACTGTGGGTACTCCCATTGCTTAAGGAGACTTCAGCAGCTGGATACACTTGGAGAAGACACTCTACTTAAAGAAAAAAAATGTTTTCCCTCAGTTTTCCTTATCGTGTGTGTTGCTATTTTTGGGTATTGCCTGCATGATTCATCATCATTTACATGACGTTTCTCTTGTTCCATAGGACGTAGGGCCTATCGGACCGGACAGGAACTGGAAGGGCATTGGCATCTCTCTGCTGGTTATCTTGCTGGTGCTCTCACTCATTGGACTGTCCATTGTTCTGCTGTCAAAAGGTAAGAGTCCCTATATATCTGCTCTCGAAACATGATAATGGCGAATATGGAGGATGTTTCCTAAAGATGCTTCTTATGCCTCAAATGATTGTCACTCTATAAACACCACAGACATGTGATGACGTCCCCCGAGTGGAGAGGTGGATCAATTATGTTTCTCTCTCCCTTATCAGATCTACATGCACATTCACACTGTATACAACTTCCCTTATCACCGCCTGACATGAGGGTATATTTATCCTGGTAAATGCATGAGTAGCACCAACAGCACAATATCATACAGTGAGCCATGAACTCTGTCAACCAGACGCTGACAACGACACCTCGTTATCTCATGGGCTGAGCAGAGTTTGAGTAAAATGAATGGAAAAATTTGACTTTGGCAATTTCTTCACTTGTTATTCCTGTATGAATTATCAGGTTTGTCTGTATTTAACCTTTTTGTACTGCAAACTCTCCAGTTTGCTCTGCCTTAACGAACATTTTTATTCATCTACACAGTGTGTAGTCATAGACAGTGTCTGAGGTGAATGAAGCCATGTTGTAAGTGTTTACTGAGACAATGTGGGGGGGGGAGGTGATAAATAGTGGAGCAGGGACTGAATAAGTCAAATCTGGAAGAGATTTCCTGCCAGAATTATCCTTCATTAGATCTCACTTGTTTATTAAAAATCAGCTTTGTGCAGGTGCATTTGAAATATTTCTCCTTCATGTGTGTTTGTATGTTCATGCGCAGAAAGTTTGATTGTTTGTCGGAGGTTTTGATTCACCTCGTGACTTTTCTTCATTATTTGTAGCTGAATTTTAATGGGACTTCATTCTTTTCTTTGACAGCTGATTGGTTGTTGTTAGTGTATTTTTAACGTATCTTTTCCTCCCTGTATAGATGACAGTGGGAAACCCTTTGGTTCACAGTTGACACTGGACGACCTCTTTCAAAGAAACTTTCAAATACATGACCCTGATGTGAAGTGGATTAATGGTGAGTATGCCTGAAGTTTGCACTGATATGAAATTTATGCTGGATGATTCTGTCAAACCCCAGATTACATTCAGTCACAACATTTTCACGATAAAGGTTTGGGAATGATGAGGTCATGACAAAAGAAACTTTAGTCAGGGTAAACTTCAGGCAAATACAACACTTGAACATTAAAAAGGATTCATATGAGGGCTGAACGAAATGCAAAAAAAAAAAAAAAAATGATATGGTGATTATTTTGTCAGATATTGTGATTGTGATTAATGACAATTGCAGTTGGAGTGGCCATTTTTGCATTTAATTTGAACTGAAAAAAATAGGCTATGAGAATGGTGATGATGTGATTTTTGTGGGGCCCAAGATGCATGTTCCTTTGCATCTGGAGATGGTGATTTGTGGGTTGAGGCGTCTCTGTAGCATCACAATGCTTCATTTATGGTCTGTTGAGACGTATTTTACCTTTATCAAAAAAATTGCAGCTGCTGTAATTTGGATATTGCAATTGGTCATTTTGTGATTTCAGTAATATTTCAGTTAATTGTTCAGCCCTAATTTATACTTTTTTAATGAAGTGGGGCAGGCATTTCATTTCAACTTTTGACGACAGTAAACTTTGTTAAAGCTTTCAAATTGAAGTTTGGACGCTCTGTTTCCTCCTCTCCTTTGTCTGTTGAGTCATGAGAACACAATACAAGCTTTCTGTTTTTCAGACTGGTGTTTCTGTTACAGTTGAACATATCCAAATACAGGAATGATCCTACTGATTGTGCTGTGTTGTGAAATCTAAAGTAATCTTGCAACAAATTGAAAAAGAAGGAAATCTTGCTTTTGAAAACTGTGCAAAGCTCCATGCAGCAAAGAATGATTGTTTCACTGCTGCTTTAGAGTTCAGAAAAGAACAGAAGAACAAGATGCATATGAATATGGCCATGACACAGATTAGCACAGCATGTTGAGCTCTGTGCTCGTCCTCAGGCAGCATAATGATTCAATAACAATCCACGCTACAAACAACATTATGTTCAGCTTCTTCCATACATAGGATTTACCCAAAGACTATGTTTTCCTAATTATTGTTTCAATATTTCTTTGGTCTGTTTAGAAATTCCATTAAAAAAAGATCATTGAAAATTCTGGCAGAAGGATGAATTCATGTGGAATCACACAGATTTCACAACTCCTCATGAGTTTAACGGTGTCTGAACATACAAACTCAGTCCTTCTATTTCATGAACATCAAAAGCTCTCAAAGTCGAGAAAGAATAAAATTTACCTTGGAAATCTTCAACAAATGAAAGACTGAAACTTTAACAGTGAGAATAATAAACAAATTTAAAAGAAATCAAAGACGCATTGACGAGTTGTTTGTTTTGAATGCACTTCATCAGACTTTGAGCTCTTTGATAAAACTTGTTCAATAATTTCTGTAAGATCTAAAGGATCACGGAGGAATTCCAAGCACTGGATATTTAAGCCTTTACACTGAGCCTGTGGTTTATTCTCTACATGCATAGTCTCACATAGCTGCACCTGCTTTTGGTCATAGGGGAAAAACACTCTGGGCTGTTTGCATTTCTTTACACTATGGGCTGGGCGACATGGTATATAAGTAATGTAGCAATATTTTTAGGCTATATTGCAATACACTACATATATATTGTGATATTTTGAAAATTACTCCCTAAATGCATGATTTAAATCTTTTGATACATAAATATTGTCATTTTATAGATCCCACGTGGAACAAGCCGTGATACATTGAGTATGTTCAATATATCGCCCAAGCCTACTTTAAACCAATCACAATCGTCTAGGGTGGTGCTGAGCGAGGATGCAGCGACGGTGCTCCTTAAAAATACTGTGAAAGGGGAATTTATTTTGGTGTGAATATTTGCATATAGTGAGGTGGGAGCACTGTCATTAAAGTGGCTGATATCGGGTGTGCCAGACTAGTACATGCATGAACCTGAGACTAGATTTGACTGTACCCGCAATCTTAAAAATCCAGCTGTGCCCAACTTGTCCTGCTAGGTGACCTGATGTTATATTTTCATCAGTAAGTTATTCCTTCTCTGAAGACAACATGTTTGCTTTAGACGCACAGAAAACCTTTATCACTTGTAAACAGACGTGTGCAGCCAAGCTAGCAGCTATGCTAACATCGGCTGACATCAGTTTGTTAGCATGCTGACAATTTGAATAAGATGACGTTTAGCAGGTGTGACGTTAACCGTGTTCGCCGTCTTGCATGTTAGCATGCCGACATTTGCTAATTAGCTTCAACACAAAGTAGGCTGAGACTGATGACTGTGATCACTGAAATTATTAAAGGTCATCCCGCGGACCATGAATGTCTGTACCAGATTTCATGTCAATGCATCTAAAAGTTGTTGAGTCACTAAAGTAGACAAATGTCAACCTCATGGTGGCGCTCCAGGAAAAGTCCCCGGATCAACAAAATCATTTGGATTAATTGTCTGGGGACCATGAACATCTCTGCCAAATGTTGTGCTGATCCATCTAGACGTTGAGATAATTTATTGCATGAGTGAAAAATTTAACCATCTGGATGCACTACATAAAAGTCAGAGGATGAACAAAGTCAGAAGGCTTTATCCTCTGGGGACCAGAGGAATGTCTGTACAAAGTATCATGGCAGTCCGCCAAACAACTGTTGAGATATTTCAGTCTGAAGTGGTGACCCACCCTGTCTGTAGCTGTAAACACGGACATGCCTGGTAAACCTGGAACGTCTCAGAGCTGAGGTCATATTTAACTTCAGGTTGAGTATTGAAATAAGACTTAACACTGACAAGTTTTAGTCCAACATTTTAAACCTAATGAAAACTATGAGTAACAAAAGATCATTTAGGTTATATATTTATAATGCTTTCAAGAACTATCTTTATTTGTATATGTGTATTTATATTATTATTGTATTCTCTGTTTTTTTTTATATTATTTCCTATGTGCATTGCTCTGTGTATTTTTATTATTATTATTTTTTATAATTTTTGCAGCTATACCGGTTATCTGAATTAAGTCCATTTTGCCCACCAGTATGCTAATCACTGCACAAGCTTTTGGCACGCCACACAGTTTCATGAGCCTGATGAAGAGCTGAGCGAAAGCGGATGCTCTAGTCAGTGTTAATTAAATTAAATTAGATCATTGATTATATTATTTTGCAGGTTTGGTGTGCAGTCTGAATACTACAATTATGTGTTGTGAGTTTATCTTGCAGTTTATTATCGTATAAGCTCAGGTCTAAAGCCTGGTAATGATAATGCACAGTGGTACAGATGTGTCTTCAGCCTGATTATTCTAACGAAGTTTCTGCTGAGTTGGCTGCGTCAACCCAAAGACAGCAGGTTACCGGGCGTATTGGCCTCAGGTGTAGGTACTTTAGTGTGTTGCTTAATGGTCTTCCTTCCTTTTTTCTAATACCCAAGATCAGTTTCTACATGCACTCATTACTCATCACAAGTGATATGATGTTTGATTGCAGGTGGGCCATTTTATGTAAGAAAACAATGATTAAAGTGAACTCTTGGCTGTATATTAACATTTATTTGCATTTACTCTACAACACAATGCACCATTTTAACGCTACGAGAAAGTCATATCATGATGATACTCGCATGTTGAGTCACAGTCAGCAGTTGGAAATGAAGCCTGAATGGGATGCTGAGAGATGTTTGTGCCACCATCTTACTGCTCCCTTTGTTTTTCTTAAGAGGCTCATCCAAGAGACTCTTTTCCTGCTGACGCCATAAATAACACATCAAATATGACTTTTTGTAATGGAACAGTCCTTTTGTTTTGGAGCCCCGGTGAATGGTTACTGTCTGGCTGTTATGTGGTATTGTTGCTGTCAAGCTGTCTGAGCCTTCCCTCTTCCTGCTGTGGTTGCCTCCTCTCAGTCACGCTCAGTCTGAAAGCCTCTCCTGCTCCCCAGCCTGTCTCACTTGCCCCAGAAACAAAAGTCCTTGAGCAACTTTGAACAAATTTCCTTTGTCTTTTTCTATAATGGTTTTCCCAACAGGGTTGGCTTTATCAAAAAAATACATCTCCTTTGTTGTAAGTCGTTCTTAAGAGAAATAAATAGAAGTGAAAACTCTCAATGAAAACTTTCATAACAAAACTGTTACTACTGTCATCATCTTTTTTGTAATGGGGGTAAGGAGAGGGGAATAGAGTAAAAAAAAAATAAACAAAATGGTAAGTCAGTAAATCGATAAGTGATTATAATGTTCATTGGTATTTGGTGTATGTGTGTGTTCGTGTATTGAGTGTAAAAACATAAAAAATAAACACTAAACAAAATAAAAAAGGTATAATATATACGTACACATACACCTACATACATATACAGGTATTGTTCCCATCATCATTCTACTAATATGAACATATATACAATAATAATTATAATACTGATAATAATATCATCCTCTTAATTGTGCATGTGGAAATGCTTGTAAATTCCATTTAGAAAGTAGTTTAATTAGCATTTGATAATTAGCCAATCAATGATCACAACTTCCCTCCAGGAGTACTTGACATGCAGGTCGTCTAATTCAGCTGTGGAATTTGTCTAAAATGTTAATTGATTTTTGCTCCACTATGGGACAGTGGAGGAGGCTGAAAACACAACATGTGACAGATTATCACATTATGAAGTTGATATTGCCAACACATTAGTTGACAGTTGTCTATTGACTTGTCCAGCAGTTATGGAGCCACATCATCATTCATTTGGAGTTGTTTTTCTGAGCACCTGGTGGATGTTAAGTCCCAAAAGCCTTGGTTTTGTTTCCACCAACTCCTGAGAGAAATATCTGCCTCTTTAGCTGCTAAATGTTCCACTATGTTCACCAGCTAGTTGCCGCTGTTTGGTGCTGAGCAGGGAGCGTACACTGAGTTCATTAGAGCATTTAGATGGAAGAAAGCTGCCGCGGCTGGAATCATGGCTGATGACAGCAAAGCTGGGTGATGATTCTCTGTGTCTGTATGAGTGAACCCAATCATACTCACAAAGGAATTTACCGCATTGTAAATATAGATATATCGATTAGTGCAGTTTTAAGCTCAGTGAAATCAGTATACTGGCCCTCACTGTGTGCAGAAGTGTGTAAACCCAAGCAAACCTAGCAAAGAGCAGTTAAAGTTAAAGTACCATAACTGTGCACAATTCTTTCACTCATGCATGAAGCTTTTCTGATTGCACTAGGCCACTCTTCAGTGAGGTTAAAAACAGAGCATGACACAAATGACAAATGACACTAACTGCAACCAGCCTTGTTTCAAAATAATCACTAGCTTGAAGAAAAATCACTCTACTGGCAGATTTATGTTAATTTGAAAAACTAAAAATTTAATTTTCTCAGATGTGTTGTGCTGACCTGACAAAATATTCATATATTACTGTATTCCAAATAAAGTAATATGAATTTTTATGATTATCAAAAATAACCATCTAGTCACTGTCTGCTCGTTTGGTCGAACTTTGTGTATTTATGAGCAACAGAGACACCTGACTGAACACCTTCTATATTATCACACGATAACACACTAACTGAGCTGAGCTGAATTTCCAAGCTGGAGCTCTTTAGCAGCTTGTCGAGCTCTCCGTCTCTGTAAAGCCAGATCAGTGCTGGCTCTACAGTTGGACTGGGAAACAAATTCTACCTTGGACTTATCCACTGGGACCGGATGCATGAGCGACACTGTAAAAACTTCACTTTTTTGGATTTTGACATTCCACTGGCCGACCGGGATTTGAGGCAGTAGTTCCTGTGACCTGTCTGTCTGTGCTCTGGTTTTATCTCTTCCTTTGTCTTTCTTTTTTTGTACGAAAACTTGGTTTCTTCAGTGGAGGAAATTCTGGAAGGTCACTTTCGCCTGAACACCGAGTACTGCACTGTGCCATCTCACGTGTGGGCGGAGCCTGTGTTTTTATAAACGTGGGGAGGACCAACTGTTTAACAGGAGGGACTCACATTAACACGCACGTGCTGCTAGACCAGAGACCAAAACACAGACCAGAGAAGCTCAGATGACAACACGTTCAGAGGGAATGTGACTTTGCTCTCTGCTTAGGACACCATTACTCCACTATATCTTTACATAGAACATAGTTGTTTGCTGCTATACTAATGTTTACAATCTCATTTATAGAACTTTTAAAAGTCTGGCCTCTGCTCACCAAGTCAAACTTTTATTGCTCCAAAGCGGCGATTAGGGCGTTTACATGATTCCGCAGTCCTCGGCCAGGCATTAAGAAACAGGCCACCAACTAACTGATATTTTTCCACAGCTTATGTACTACAGACAGTTACATGAGTGAAAGACTGGGCTGTATTATTATTACAGTTTCTTCCAGTTGTAACAAAAAAAAAACAGCAACAAGAATCACAGGAACACACTGGGTGAGAGGAGAGCATCCGCACTGTGAACAGCTGAGCTAATCAGTGCTGTTAATGTTAACAATCGATCAAAGGACTATGTGTTATGTGAAAGGTGTCACTTGGAGTAATGAACCGCAACTCCGCAGTTCCTCTCAGCTCCATTTGGTGTGTTATTCTATTTTGGATTATTATTGTTTTGGTTTTCATCAGCCGTGTTCCAGGAGTACCAGGCAGCTGTTCCCATCAAAAAGCTCTGCTAAACCCACTGGACACTACCTGCCCGGTACCAAATGGCAGACAGACACAGTTAGCAACTAGCTAGTGAATGTAATTGAGTATTTAGTAGCTAAAAAGCCAGATACCTCCCTTGGAAGTTACACTGCATTTACTCATTTGGCAAATGAAAGCATCTGTCCAATGAGTGCCAGGTTGGTGGAGACCAAAAAAACAAAAACAGGGTGAACTAAATGGAAGCAGCAGACATCCTTACTTTTACTCCCTAATGTTGGCTAAGCTCCAAAAACATTTGATCTTACAATTCCCATAATGCAACTCAGCAGAATCTTTTTGTTAGTCTCTAAATTCCCCAGTCTTTCAAACTGAATGGCACCAGTTTGTAACACAGGCTTTCCCTTAAAAATGTGTTCTTGCTAAACTGAAATAAACCCAATGATGGAGCAGAAAACATCATCCCTCCTTGTGACAAATAAGTACTACATTAGGGTAAAACGCCCACTTATTTACTCAAAATTCTCCATCCATCTTGAATCAACAATGTCTGTCAACAATAAAACACACGTCTGCTGCTTTTACTGATCCCACGTTGTCAAACTTGGCTTTTTTCTTCACACCACAATATTAAGCTCAAGGGCTAGAGATGTGTAATTTATCAGTTGGGTAACAGTGTCAACAGTGGCGAAACCGGGGATTTCCTTTAATTATTGCCCTAACAAAGCAGTGGCAAATCACTGAGTATCTCTGACACTTTTAATCACAGCTGAGATTACATGCCACCTTTATCCTCAGAGCATTTTCTGATGGAACTGTTGTCAACTCTGGAGGATAGCAGCCCAATTTTCCAATTACTTTCGCCGTAAAATGTTTTATAAAACCACTGATTTGATACATGTGCAGCATATAAAATATGCACAAAAGACTGTGGCTTGTTTCGCTGTGGGTAAGGGTTTCCAAATGACAAAAGCCCTTCAGAGGATTTCTTTATCAGTGACCCATCTGTCTTTCATATTTATTTTCCTGTCATTATGCTTAAAGTGTTTTGAGTGTTTGCTAGTCTGTAGCCCTCTTGCCTGAGATTGATGCCACCGAGCTTATTCATTGACATTTACATGAGATGGGGACCTCAGAATGATTTAGACCTGTCAACCGCTTTAATGAAAATCAGGCCTCTCTGGACTGTAGGACTGGTTTGGGATTAGACTGGAGTTAATGCAGGCACCTCCTGTCACTTTCTCCACTCTTAAAAGTTGAAGCTTAATCTCACTGTGCCGAGTTTCTTAGACAGATCCTCCTAAATGAATCTTTGTTGTTGTTGTTTTCTTCTGTCTTGTCAAATACTTTGTCTCCTCTGGGGCAGCTTATTGTTGGACCTATTTAACCCCTCCCAAAAAATCTTGAGGCTCACGCTGTCTACACACCATCAGCCTGAGCAACTGTTTTCCTGAAGAGGAACCGATGATGCGAGACTGTCCTGTAAAAATTTTGCCCATAGGTCATCTGTGCAGCTAGTTGCTTTGTGTTGTTAGGCAACATCTAGCAGCCGTAGTAATTATGACAGGAGCAAAGGAAGAAGTCAGGTGATGTAGTAAATAGAGCGACAAAGCCCACACCAGGAGGGGGTTGTGGTGGATGGATGGGTCAACGAAAACATAGGAACTTCACACAGGAGAGCAGTATATATTGTTTCTATTATCCATGACCGTTCAAAAAAAGTTAACCACATTGTTGTTGTTGTAACCATGACAACAAAGATTGTGTAATTTTAGGAAAGTACTTATTTTAACCTCAATCATGATCTTTTCTTAAACCTAACCAAGTAACCTAACCAAACCATGACCATTTATTATTGCAACCATAGCGATGAAGATCCAGTGTGTTGCTGAATTAACGTGATGTACACGTGATATGAAATTATGACAAAATATAATACAAAACACTCACATGTCGACAATAGATGCCACTCAGTTGAGTTTATTGTGCCCTACTTGTTTACAGGTCATAACAAACCGGGAAAGAACCAGAACGTCAGCTTCGGTTTCATAGACAATACTTCAGGAGATTCAGGAGGTTTATCCATGATGATGTTGTATTGACCACTGAGCAACATCAGATCTTATCTTTCACACATACACTACGCAGAGGTCAAGTGTGTGGCGGTGGCTGCCTGACAAATGCATTGGCTGGGTATGTCGTCCAGCGGGCAGGGTGAAAGAAAAGCGGGCGGGGCTGGTCAAAGGGGTTCAGTTACAGTAGAGAAGAAATTTTAAATCAAAAATCATTCCTTTTCTTTTTATTACCCAAAATAATTGGTAGTCTTAGTTGTTAACGACACAAAAAAATAGCAAAAAGCGATTTAACTGCAGAGGGTACAAACGACATACAGTATATGGTTGTTCAGGTTGTAGGACTTGAATGATTCCCACTATCCATGAATAACAGAATAATGTTCATGGACAATTGAGGAGCACACAGTTTCCATCCAAACCTTCAGCGCCAGTGAAGGAAGTAGTGGTCCCCTGTAGCTATGTTAAAGTACATTTGTTGAGGTCAGTTCAGCGGAGGGTGTGTAGAGCACCGACTTTCATGGTGGTGACCAACCTTTCCCTTCCATCACAGACTGACATCTGTGTCAATAAACATTCTGTTTCACTTTCCTGATGGTATGGACACAGTTTATGTGATCGGGGCGTTTCTGCAAATTAAATTAAGAGTGGCACAGCAGTCAACATCACACCACATAACCACAAATCCATGTGGCTTAAGTTGCCATGGCAACACTGCTTTGCACAACATAAGGTTAACAATAGTCCAGACTGTTTATCATGTTTAGAGACAGCTTTACTTTGACCTCTTGCCAAGATAAAAAAAATCAAACAAATCCAAATTTTCCAGCAAACTTAATTATATTTTGTCAGTTGAAAAACTGGTACAAAAAAAATAAAAACAATTACTACTAAAAATAGAGTCTTACATTTAAAATGCTGTCTATGTCTAATCAAGTGTTTCTTTGTTCACAGCCCGTCACAAAGATTTGATTTAGCTCTTTGAATATATATTTGTTACACAAACACAGAACCTGAGTGTGTGTGTGTGTTTCTGTCCTAGGGGAAGAAATCATCTATCAGAGCTGGGACGGAGATGTTCTGAAAGTTTCCACACACGACAATGAAACAGACCTCCTGTTGAAAAACTCAACGTTTGTAAGTAGGCCAGCGATTTGAACATTTTTATTGTAAGTAAAATAATATTATTACAATAATGCTTCGTATATAAAATAATTCTTACAGTGGCAATCCACTTTGCCATCAGCAGGTGGCTTGTTGTTGATTGTCAGTTGGTGCTGCATCAAGACATAAGCTTATATGGTTTGTGTATCCGTGCTGTATTCTTCGTTTTCAGAAGTCGAATGAAAAAAATTGCGTTGTTGACATCTCATCCGTTTCTTGTTCTTCCCACAGGCGACTTTTAAGGCATCAAAGTTTGCAGTTTCTCCAGATCTGAACTTTGTTCTTCTGGGATATGATGTCAAGCAGGTGAGAACCTCTTTAATATTCTGATTGCATATTCTCTGACACTGGTGTTTGGCTTGGGGCTGCTGACAGTTCATGAACTGAATTGGAGATGTGACCGACATGGAAATATCTTTCAGGTCTGAATCAATGAGAAACCTGACATGTTTTATTTGTGAGAATAAAACAGGAACAGTTCAGAATCGCATACATAAGCCCTGTACGTTATTTAACTTTGAAACTATTATTAATCAGTTTTTTAAACAGTTTAAAAACAGTTTTTCTGAGGAATATTGCAAGTTTCAGTCTCTGTTTCAATTAATGAAGGTGTTTTTACTCTTGATAGTATCTGTATCAGACCCTCACATGTTGGAGGTTGATGTTTGTGTATGCATTAAGTCCATTTAGGTGTAGAAATTCTACCATGGGTTTAGCCTGGTGGTGATCCTGAAGGGCAATACACATCGAGTTAGGGTTAGTGTTTTAATCTGTCACTCGTTCGTTCAGAGATCATCATGTCATTAACGATTGCTAAGGGGGCCCCCAGTTTCACTATGCCCTTTCCAGTTTCATTGTAAACATATTTCCAGGGTTGTCGCTTACTTTTTTCCCCATGATGCACAAGAAAGTGAAAATTATCAGTGTGTTTTTCCATAACAAAGGGACACAAGGGACATTTACAAGCAATATTATTTAACTTATTTAAATGAAAAAGTACACTAGGTTTTTTTTTTTTTCTTCTTCTGACAATATTTATGTAATAATTCTGTAATTATTTAACTGTTTTACTATTTAGCTATTTGTGGGCCCAGCTACGCTACACCCAGGGAAACAGCTGTGGTCAAACAAATCAAACGTACTTTAAATCAGTGCCTCGCCATCCTCTATAATATTCCAGCACGTAGATACATTTTCCTACGCACCCACTTACACTGGAGTACCTACCAAATGTAACTTCAAACCTCGCAGGTGTAACATGGAATTTAGTGCTGCCTGTTTACTTCAATCCTTCAGAGTTTGGTGTAGTGGCCAAGTTTCCAGTTTCTATGGCCATTGTGCAACAGAAATACTCCATCTGGAGGTCAAGTTGTGTGATTGGTGTCTTGTGTGCAGAGAGTTGTTAGTAATGGAAATCAAGAGATAGATGCAGTTACTTCACCAGTCAGGAGGCAGAAAAGCTCTTTAGAACACTTGGCACTCCAAATGGAGATGAAAAGAAATCCTAGGGTTTGAAGGGGTTAACACATTTCTCAATCCTCAGTATCAGTGACCTTGGGTCGAAGCTGCATTGGTGTTCTCTCCAAATGACTCAGCATGAGTCAGCTGACAGCGTAAGTGTTGACCCAGTCGGACACTGCCCAGGTTTGGTGACCGGGTGTATTTATAAGTGATGGGTATAAATGAAATAATACTGACATTTAAATGTCACGTAGTAGTCTATGGCAACAGGAGAAGAACATGTCTGCTGTAGGAGTATAACAGCCATAATACTGAAAATATGCAAAAAGTACATATTCACATACAAAAGCATATTCACCAATGTCCTTGACCCGACTTCTCCCAGTAACCTGCTGTCTTTTGTACATACACAGCTGATTGTAGTCAGTGTTACTCCTCACTGTGGTGAGAAGAGCGCTTCATCCAGACTACGCAACACAAAAATCTCTTGACCTACTTTTTGAATGGAACAAAGCTAATTGTATGTCACATCTGATTGGCCATCTACAAACTCTTTTTAACACAAGTTCATTTGGCCGTTGTTGAAAACACTGAGGCACAATACAGTGCTTTGAACAAATGTTTGAAGATCTACAACTAGAGCAGAGCGTACTGTTATTGGGTTTTATGGAAAGCCAGTCAAATTAAAGCACACTTGATGTTTTCAATGAAGTGCACTGTAGCAGAGTCAAAGGCAAAGGAAATTTCATTCTTCTACGTCCATGTGCACAAAACTATGTTTAACCGTCAAAATGCAAACGCCTTCTAATAAAGGAAAGTACTTGCTAATGATTTAAGATCATAAAAGTGTCAATCCCTGAGAATGTCTGTCCTTGGAGATTATTGAATGATTCAGTGAGAGAAAAAGTTCATTTCTCTCTTGGGTTCAGACAATAGAAGTTAGCACAATGGCAGACAACAGATGAACACAAAAATACCTGTTCAATGCTGTCCAACACAACAACCACTTTTATGATGGTGTTGTCAGTTCTTCTCTCACTTTTATATAATTTTGTCAAACAAGAGAAGACACAGAGTTTTCCATTATAGGGGTTGTTGATGTGGATATCAGCAACTTGAATACAGAATCATAACCGTTGTTATTATATAGACTGGCTTTATTTGTTTTAATCGTGCTGTCTATTCTAACCAATCATAAAGGTTATTATATTATAGTGTAGGCTTTTTGCAGCCTGACAGGAACACCGGCAGACCTATTTGTCTATGGGTCTGATTAACTGTCTAATCCCAAAGCACAAAATAACATTATAATTCACATACGCTCTAATACTGACAGCAGTATCTCTTGTCACCTCCAGATTAAAGGGCCGTCCACACCAAGAACAATAATTACAACTATAATTAGGCAATATCACACTCGAGGTCGTGATGTTGTACTGAATAGCGAAGACAATCACAGCCGTGCTGATATTCAGTACAACATCACGACCTCAGGTGTGATATTGCTTTTATCGACCAGTTCTACGAGCGCCATATTAGTTAAATAAGCAACAACAGATTATAATTTGTTTGTTTATTTCATCATTTATTTGGCTACGCCAACATAAATGGTTCCATAACTGGACTGGTACTGGACTGTTGCTACGCAACACATAAACATTTTCCTGACCTGCACAGTGCACACTAGCTTGCTACTTTGTCTACATGTTACCTCAGGTGTGCGCTGAAGTATCCAGGCTTCTTCCCTTCATCCTCCTCTGATGAACAGACATCGTTTCATTCAAATGTTATTTCTGGAAATATTTTCATCTTTGGAAAGTTTGTTACAATCTAAGAAAGATAACGACCGTTAATGTGACGCTGATCAGTGGTTAATAGAACACCTGTGACGCAGAGTGACACATGCAGTTAAAAGTCCCAGTGCTGTTGTGCTCTATATCAGCGCTCATGGAATGACTTTTACTTTGTCGGAACTAACTGTTGTATAACTAAAACTAATACAACGTGAGCATCCACACAGATGAATGATAATGATTTTCTTGTTAGCGTCTGTATAAAAGTTTATTTGTGTTATCGATGGGTGGGTTTTTTTTTTTTTACCTCAATACTGACTCTCTCTAATGTCATCTGCCATATTGAATGTGACGTCCTGATCTGTGAGCCGGGTTGTTTGCTTATATTGCAGCCGTGCTCGGTGTATTGACCCAGTAACATTATTATTAAAGAGCAGAACGCACAGTCCAATTGCCTGTGAAGTCATATGTAGTTTGATCGGCTGTCAGTTTCTCTATCACCCATCAAATCACTGAAAGTGATTCTGGTGGTTTCGTTCACCACGGCCGATGTTGATATAGTTGTGGTGTGAACTCCAACATCCACTTGAGTTAAAACAACTTTTTAAAACAACATATTTATAGTTATTGTTATATCTATCGTTATTTGTTGTGGATGGCCTTAAGGTCTTTGTCCACTTACAGGCTGATGCCACTCACCTGAGCATCGTGATAATGCATTAGCAAGTGCATAAAACGCTTGACACACACAGAGAACACACTGATACCCCTACCCGCACGGCACAAAGGGCTGATTTGATTGAGCAGCGTTTTACCACGCCCTATTCCTTTAATTGTAGTAATTTGGCAGAAGAAAAAAAAATTATGAAATGATGATAACATTATGTGGTGGAGAAACCTGAAGCTTGAGCGGTCAGCCACGCCTTAGTGAACGGTCAATTTCTGTCTAGATTTCCACGTCCCTTCAGTATGCTGCAGTATGCTGCACATATGATTTGGATTACTTTTACTCTTTTTAGCCATTTATAGCACTAATAACAAGGTTATTATGCTCCTGTTAATGTTGGAGGCCAAGGCAGTCTGTGTATGGCAACATCACAAAACACAGAGCTTTATGTTGTTACCCTGATGCTTTAGGTCTGCTTCACACATGGTGTTTGCTGAGTGCTGAGGATTGAATGGAGGATCGTGTGTGTGTGTGTGTGTGTGTGTGTGTGTGTGTGTGTGTGTGTGTGTGTGTTGAGGAAACATGCTCAGTCACAATTATCAGAAGAATGGGCGCTGTACAGGCTGGTGCTCAGCTGCTGATCCACAGCACTTTACATTTTCACTATTTTCAGCTTATTCCTTGTCGTGAGAAGATTCTGCAAACAGAATAGTTTTATTCTTTGCATCTTTCTGCAGGCAGATATAATTCAAATGACTGCAAATGAATTTTTATGGAAGCCGATTCCAATTACACAATTTAAAATGTACAATGCAAACTATTGATGAAGCTAATGCTATAGTATATAATTTTCTTCTCCAGGGTCACGCTGCTGTCATGGCTGCAAATATTGCAACAGCAGACGAACATTTGTTGATATGTTTCATAAAGTGATATTGTCGTCCGATTTTTTCAATGAAGAGTTGTAGTGAACACCGCTGGCCGGGCATCAGTCACAAAGACTTCATAATAAGGACATTATGGACCCAAAAGGAGTCACTCTTTGGACCATTGCTTCAGTATAAAGTTGTACCAATAACTGTGAACATCTGTGGATGTAGACTGGTCAGAGTAACAACAGCACTGTTAGAGATGTTGCTTTAATGCTCTACCTCAAACTAAATTCTAATCACCTCTGATGCATTGTTAAAATTCATGAACAAATCTCAAAAAGAATCAAACCATCTAAATAGCTGGACACCACTCGGGGTAACATTTTCATTTTCATTTAATTTATCTATTTATTTATTGTTTTTTTTTCCCCCCTAATTAATTTATGGTTGACAAGACACTGAAATGCTGCAGTTACAGCTGTTGTGCCATGTGTCTAAATTGGCCAGTGGCAC